GAGATGCAACGAGTCGTTAACGCCCGGAAGAAGAGAGGGTTTCCTTTTACCGATCGGGGAATAATACTTTTAAACGCTTCCTGATCGCACCAATTCACAATAACATAACAATAAGCGGGGAAAATTTTCCGGGAAGTTCAATGAAAAAACGCATATAATAATTAAAACATTTGTCTAACTGTTCATCGAGAAGAAGGAGTTTATCTGGAGATCTTTTCCTGCTCCTCCCCTCTCACCCCAGAGGAATATTTATCGAGGGTTCCCAGCATCGACGATGGAGGAAAGGAGAGGGTTCACAGCGTTTATCCAGGTTGCCGTGAAAGATCACTTGGCTCGTAGATCGAAGAGGTGACTTCACTTGCCAAACGAGTTTATGTTTTTAATCGAGTCTACGACTCGTCTGGCAACGGGTTCTCTCTCGGTACATCCGGCATGCAATTGCTGGATACGAATCCTCGATATATGTTTGCAAAGGGATCATCTGCCGGGGCCTCTTTCAGCGCTTGGCCACCTGTTTCCGTACACGCGTTTCTTTTTTTTTCCTTCCATGAAACCTTGGACGAACTCGAATATTTTCTATCTGATATAATTTCAATTATTGTCCGATAAATTGATTCGGAAGGAATTGATTTTTATGCAACAATCCTAAATGAGAGTTATTGATAAGACGTACTAGATAATGGTCAAAAAATAAAATTTGAAATTGTCTTATTTACTTTGGACTAATATTAGAAGAGTGCGGGTTAAATAGAGGGGATTATAAGGCGTTATCAGAGTAAAAAAAGAAAAAAAAAATGATGACAAAGGACGCGAAAGGAAAAAAATCCTGCGTGGCAAGTGCAGCAAGTGGATCAAGCTTGGAGAGGGTTAACGAATCGCGCGTGTAGACATTGCAAACAGAACTATCTCTCCACGGGAGGATCAGAGAGAGGAGCCTAGCCGAGTGAGAATTTGTATTTGCTCGGGACCAGTCGTAGAGACCGTGTCGCTCGCCTCGACCGCTGCTCTTATCTCGATTTCAAAACGCAATTTTACTTTGAACGCGTTTCCACGTTTGTGTAATCTTTTGTGCTTGTAATCTCGTGAATTTTGAGAAAAATTTTGTTCATCGTGTGTGTCTGTGTGTGCACGAAATATTTTGTCATTAAAGAAAATAATAATCTCAAGAAATTATTTTTTGGATTTTCTTTTTCGGAAGAATGTAGAAAAAAAGAAATACTTTCTTTTCCTTTCCTTTTTCTTAAATTAAAAAATACTTTACACAAAGTGGAATGGAAATTTTTGTTGAACTTGTAAATAAGTGGTTTCATAAAATGAAACGAGGACGCGTTATCTTATGGACCGAGCAAGTTTATCCAGAAAAAATGTTATTTTAATTCAAAAAAAAATCTAGGAAAAGATTTCTAAGTATGACTCACTTGTGGAAACGATAGGGGATGGAGAAGATGAAACGAATATACTCGTAGTTTACAATCAGAGAGAAGAAAATGTTGAAGTGGATAAAAGTGAGGCAGGATGCGTCGGCGACGACGACGACGACGCTCAACCACGAAAAGAAGGACGAGATGGTGGCAAAGGTCGAAGTTGAAGAAGCGGTGAAAGAGGAGGAGGAGGACAGTGGCATGGAAAGAGAGGACACACCGTCCAACATCGAGTTGAACGATCTACGAAAAGTATGCTTAACCCTATAGCTTCATCATTATATCTAAAAGTAAAAAGAAAAAAGAAAAATATAAAAATTTTAACAGCAAAAGTTTTACAATCGTACGAATATGAAAATTTATATCTACGAATGTATATGCTTTAGAAATGTTGTTACGTAATTTCTTGCAATCCTGATTGAACTTTTTTTTTGCATATACTTAAGAAAGTTAATGGACACGTCTCTCTTTTCCTGTGAAACGTCGTTGACATTCTTCAAAACGCATTAAGCCTGGAAAGATAAGAAATTAGTGGCTCTGTGCGCGAAAGCACTTGGAGCAATAACACATGGCCCATCTTTAAAGTGTCATTAGTGGTCGATTTCTTATACGGTATTCGAACGGATTTCCTTCGTGATTCTGACTTGTTATTAGACGCAGGTATGGTTTCTTCATCGAGTTTTAATATTAAATGATGAATTTATTTCTTTATTTACTTTGCTTTACTTTTGAAAAAAAAATATTTATCACTTTCCAATTCACGTAACAATTTTGATAGATAAAAATTCTTCAAAATTTTTCTTAATTCTATCAATGAAATAACATCATAACAATGATTTCCAGAAATTCAGAGAAACAGAGTTAGTATATGGCGTTGTAATAAATCTTGGAATTTTCATGGTCGCTTTCATTCATCGATTTCACGATAGCACGTAGTTCCAACTAGTGGATTGGTTTTTTTTCGATACGAGGCCAACCTGCTTCCAACAGGTGCGACATCCTTCTCGACGCACGTGGACAAAGACCATCGTCGTCTTAACATCAACCGAGCAGAGCCGTTTCTCCTCGCGGTATTCGATATCTCATCGAACGACTTTCATTGAAAAATTTCTCCAATAACCATTACTTGGTGGTTCTTTCGATTCCATAACTCGTGCATCGATTTTCTTTGTGCAGATTATTTTGCAGATTTTCTTATAGTTATAATTTTACTCTTCCCTATCGAACAAAATAATTTTTAATTATTTATTGTTTCAATTATTTTAATAAATTAAACTTTCCAAGATAATACAACTATATCGAACGTAAAATATGCAAAATTTTAATTTATTCTCTACCTTCGATATAAAAATCGCATTCGTTTCATCATCAAACGTTTTTTCCCCTCGAAAAATTTCCAAACCGATCGATCGATAGATCCAAACACGTCATTCGCTCCTTCTCCTCTCCTCGCAACTCGTATCCCATTTTTTCCTCCTCTTCGTTAACATTTTTTCTCGTCGCTGCGCCTCGAAATGGTGCACGCGTTGAGCAAGCAGCCCGAAGCGGTGCCGTCGACTTTCTACGCGTGGCCACCGTTTACTTGCGAAACTAAACTCGTTTACTCGTACAACTCTTTCTTTTTTTCGTGGAATCGTGGATTTTTTTTGCACCTTTTTTCGAAAACGCATCTTCGAACAAACAGACGGATGGATCGAAATTTTCGACGTATTTTCCAGGATCGAAGGAGGAGGAGGAGGAGGATCGAATCGAGTTTCGAAATCGTTCATGCCTCTGTTATGCTGATTAGAGAGAAAGAAAACGTTTAAAAGGAGGATTTCGTTCGGGTTGCCGATCCCATTTACATAGGCTGGATTTGCATACGTTTACGTAACGGGAAATTGAGAGTACGTGGGCGTTATGAGTTTCCTTTTGCATCCATTCGGCGCTTGATACGCGGCGGGGCAACTCGGCTCCTCGAGATTTTCGTTAATTCCGCTTTTGGTCGTGACTTATCGGTGGAACTGTGACGTGTCTTTTGATTATTTCGGTGTGAAATAAATTATTATCTACTATTGTTATTAATTTTTTCTTAAGGAAACTTGTTGATAGTAATTATCTCTTTCTTCCTGATATACAATATTTATGTTGTATATTTGTAAATTGAATATTTAACGAATGAAGTAATATCTTTCAGTGTTTAAGATTTTTCGAGGTAATTTCAGCGAATTTTGAAGAATTTTATTAAAATATTTTTGTTAGAATAATGAATCGATACAGTTTGAATGAGTTGAATAGAATTGTTTGACATTTACAAATGTATCGTAAGGTTGTATGGAAATGAAAGGTTCAAGAAAGGTGAAAAGTACCTGTCGCCCAAAACAGGATCACTTTAATATGGAAATTTCGAGTTCGAATTCATGAATAAATTATACGAAGAAACCTCTCTTTTATTCGGCTACCAAAAGGCGGAAAATTTATTTCTTTGACAAAATTTGCTTCTTATAAAAAATTATTTTCGAAGATTAATTTTTTATTAATTATTATGTTTCAAGTTTAAATCCTCTGAAAAATAATGAAAAATTGTATAAAAGAATATTTATTGTGAATTAATATTCAAAATTAAAATAATTCTGAAATATATATATATTATGTATTAGTATAAATTTGATAAATAATGTTGCACAATGCAATTCATATTTTTATGACATTTATATGGTAATTGTTATCCAATGCTCGAGAAGTTTCATACGATATTACACAATATATCTTCATGCCTCGTGGCCAGTGCATCTTTTGCATCGGTAACGCGATACGTGTGTCCTACAAACAGAGATATTTACACAGTCTTTGCGACACGTGCACTCGCGCTTCTCGTATCCTATTCTGTTCACGAAACGACCGCATATAGACCTCAAATACCCTTATTCATCAAAACGTTTCATCGTTTAACGCTATGTCACCAGCGTTGAATTGAATACTCGAGTTATTAGCAACCGAACTCATCTTCAGGCTTATCATATATATAGCAAACGTAAAAAGGAAAACGTTTATCAATGCAATTAAGCAGAAATTGCAACACTATTGACGTGCCTTATCGTATATCTTTTTAATATCTCTTGTCATCTTGTTTGCTTCAATTTTTCTCTTTTCTTTTTACATTTCTTCGTTTATCTAATTTGTAAAGATAAAAAATTTGTTCTGCAATTGCATACCCATTCAACAAAAGAAAAAAACAATCGAATTCGAATTTTCCATCAACAACAAGTGCATCAATCTCAATAGCACTACGTGTGACAAAAATTCTTCAAAACAAAATAGATTTACCTTGAGCCACTTCGACGCAAGAACCGTGAAATGCACGATTGACCGTAAAACAATTCTTTTCAAATGCAACAATAGCAACAACGACTCGTTAAGCCCGCGCCGCATAATATCACGGCGAACGAAAGGCCTCTTGAGATAAGCCATTAATCAACCAAACGCTTTAAACAATTCCTCGAGCGTGTTCCCTCCAACAAAAGCCGCCCTCTCCAACAAGCCTCCCTTTATTTTTCATTTACCATTTAAGTAATTCGTTCGTCACCTTGTCTGTTGCAGGACCTTTTCTCCCAGCTGCAGTTTTCGCAAGAGAGCGCGTTGCCTCCTGACACGCTGCGCCGTGCTCTCGCCGAGAGTTTTCTCGATCAGCAAAGATTCCAGCTTGGATTCATGGACGACGCGGCGGAATGTTTCGTAAGTGGCTAGTTTGCCTAGTTTCTTTTCGCCTATTAAGTCTTTTCCAACGCACCGATGTATCGTTATATTATATATATAAATGAACCGTATGCACGAAGTTGGTAGATTTCTTGTTGAACGGTGTACAAAATTTGTCTTTTATGCGTGGAAGAATAATACGTTATAAATGAGATCACGGTTGAGAATTCTTTGAGTCCCATTTTGAAGTCCAATTTTGAATCAAAATTGAAAGGAGTCTATTTTTTTTCAGAAAATTTGATGAATGAGATTAATTAGGTGGATTGTGAAGATGAAGAATGAAAGGGATGAATGAGGGAAAGTATATATTCACGATTGGGTTGTAGTTTTAGAATCAGAATCAGAAGGGTTGATGAGTCCTCGTGATTTTCGATATCATTTCTTTAGTAATAAACTGTAATACGTGCTCGTGTATGTATGTCAATGTACGTCGAGAAAGACAGTTTTATCGAGTTGCTTATTGTAGCGTAACGGTATCACGAACGAGTTGCAACATAATAAATGTAGTATTAAATAGAATGCGTTCGAGGCTATTATATATTTGTCAATATATTCGCAAACTATTAACGTCATATCAATTATGAACTTAAATTTCATCTTCATACAAAAATTACGATCATCCATTAATCTCCATTGCATTCAATATGTGCATCTTGTATCCCTGATCGAAAAAAAATTCATTTATAAATCAGTACACGAAATATCCATAATTTTCATCGAGATGCAAGAACAAATTATTCTATAATCTCCTGTAAAAATTTCATCATACACTTCCATAATCTTGCCAATCCCGAACAGAGCTCGTGGTACATTTTTCCAGTTGTTTTTGCCCATTCATAAGAACGATCGGCCATTATCCACTCCCCCTTACAACTATTGGCCGCAATCGCATTAATCTCTCAGTTTCGACATTCACGACGTCTAATGCGTTGCGATTTCCTTCGATTTTCCGAGCGGTTTACGATCCTGAATATTCCATCGCGCAAAACCAGTTCCACGTTTCCTCTCAGTTGCAGCTCTCAGTGGCCGAGCGTATCGCGGATTGCCTCAGCCGAGCGTGGCCGTAGGTGACTCTGCGCGAATACGCACCGGTTGTTCACTTTCTCGTTTACACGGGAGTCACGTTTAGATTGGGTGTCGTTTCGTATGCGCATGCGCGCGTGTATGTGTGTGCGTGTGTGTCGACATCGGTCGGCCACGTAAAACGAATGTATAACGAATGCAGTCCACGAGTGTAATAAACGCAGGGACATGCGTATCTAGAGCGTTTCAGGGCATGCTGATTGGATTACTTTCAGCGACTAATTAAACGATTCGATCGTGGCAGTGAGGATTTCGTGTCGTTGGCCTTGGGATATTCTCACCATTCCAACGTTGGATTGATTGGAAGGATGGTAGATTATGGTAGGCTGAGTTTAGTATCTGGTTTAGATTATTGTCCTGGTATGCAAGCTGTTGCTTAAAGAATGAAATAATTGTACGATAATAAAGATGAAAATATCGTTTATGCGTCTGTTTTTGAGAAGACAGTGGTATTCTTCGTCAAATTGAAAGTTGTCAAACATACGCTGTTAGTTTCCAATATTAACATCTCTTAGTTAATTTATCTATAGTCAAAGGTTGCTTTACAATCTTGATATAAGAAATTTCTGTACGTTGCGATGCAATATCTCTAAGTTTCTAAAATTTAGAATCGAATAAATTTCAATTATAATATCTTCCATTATTATCTTCCATTAGTTACGTGGATGGATATATTTTTAAATTCCTAATAGCGGAGCGGATACTTATGTTTCAAGACTTGCTGCCATTCGGATAAATTTACGACTCGCTTTATATTTCTTCCAGCAACGCTGGTTGGAAGGATGGCAGAGAAAAGAATATCATAATATACGAGTTTCTACGCGAATGCCTCATGGGCTTGCATGATTGCTTTTCCCGCTTCGAAATCATTATTTTTAACTTCGTGTCTTTTGTCATTTGGAATTTTATCCGATCCTTTGTTGCATATGCTTTTTATACGATCAAAAATATATCCACAAATTTTGATTCGTTTTATATTCTCCATATTTTAAATATTCTCAATAATAATTGAGAATATTATAACTCTCTTATAACTCTTACTCTTAGAATTTTCGCAAAACACCTTTAACAATAAAAAGTGTCGTTAGATTTTTAATAATAAATTATTCAATCGATATATTTTTTGAAAAATAATTATTAGTTTCTTTACGAAGCAATAGAACAGTGAAGTAAATTAATCACATTTTACATGACGAGCATCCTTTTTCGAATTACCATAATCGATTATCAGGATCTTATTTATTTTTAGCGATGTATCATCGAACACGACAATAATGGAGATATATTAAGGAGGAATATTATTGCAGGAAAACATTCTTCTGCGTATACACCTTCACATCGCCAGCGGGGAGGCGGAAGACATGTGCAGCGCCAGACACTGCGTGCCCCATCAAAAGTTCGCCATGACATTGGTCGAGCAAAGCGTTTGCGGAGCTTGCGGTGCCACCTCAGAGCCTCTGCCTTTTACACAGGTTAGTCTGGTCCACGAGTTCTTCTCTCGTCAAAGGGAATTCTAATCGACGTGGCCTAACTGATGAATAAATTGCCACTGAGCTTTTGATAACAATTGATTAAGAGTGTCCTGATTAATTTGAGAATTTTACGGACAATGCAATATATAGAGAATTGAAGAAAAGCAAGTAAATTCCTCGAGTAAATTTTACAAATCTTGAGTTCCGTTTGAACGTATTACGTTCAATTTAATGCAACCATTAAATTGTTTAAGATCAATTTCAATTTATTCAACTATTTTTACAACAACGTAAAACTTTTTAATCATATTCCAAAAAATCGAGTAGCAAAAACTGATAAAAGAATCGCTGAACAATAAGCACAAGAACATCGTTTCATCCCAGTCATTTACAAGTTGTAATCAATTTCTTTCGTCATCAACTTCTCTTTTTTTCTACCTCCACTTTGTCTCTGAGATTTCATTGTATTTAAAAACATTCCATCTATCGTCATTCCTCTCATATTCATATCCAACACAGAATCTCTCGATAGCGCGCAACTCGCGGAAAAACGTGTTTCTTGCGAAACGTTCCATTACGTTTCAAGGAGAATTCAGAGAATAGTTTATCTTTCCTCTTTTTTCCCCCCGACCATTCGATCCATCTGTCCACACGATCGTTTCCTTGCCATCGAACGTTTCTTTTCTCACGTAGCCTGTAGCAGGTAGATCCGGAGATCTATGAAGGAGAATCTCAGGTAAAATTTCGTAAAGTTTTCTTTCGTATCCTCTCGTGAGATCGATTCGTTTGGGGGTGGTCCAGGTAGTCGAAGAGGGTTAACGAGGAAGGTAAACGAAAGTTAGCCCTTCGAGGAGGGACAGAGTTTAAGCGATTTAAGCGACTTAAGGGAGAAGCCCAAGCGAGCCTAGATACTGAACGATCGAGTCGCGTCGTGTAAACGGATTAGCTGATCGGGATTTGACGGCTCATTGGCCGCGAACGACCAAGAGGAATGGAAGAGGAATGGAAGAGGATGGATTTTGAGGGTCGATGGGATACTGTTTCGCGCAATAAACTCGAAACACGATTGGAGGGGGTGTGGGAAGCCAAGTTGAAATTGGTAATAGGCACCGAGACCAATCGGAGGGGTTGTAATTGCTTCGAAATGGGGATCTGCTGAAGTTTCTTAGAGTTCGTCTAATGGGACTTGATTTAATCCTTATTGAAGGGTTGACAAGTAGTTGATTTTTAAATTCGTATAATAATAAACGTGTTTGTAGATTATAATAAAATTAGAAAATCTAGGGTTCCCTAGAATTTTGTTTTCTTGAAATTCTACTAAACAATTCTTTAATATCAATATTTCTTTAATTAATAGAGAATTTTACGGAAATTCAATTTTTTATTGTTATCATTATTTCTATAATGAAGTAACAAAAGTAGAAAAAATTATGAAGTATTTGTTTTTACACCAAGTTTCGAGAAACTTAATAAACTGTGAACGTGTAGAGCAACATGTTATCGCGTTTCTGGTAAACTGGCCCTAGTTCGACGAGTTTGATTATTTCCGCCTCGACGAGAAAAGTGAAACTCTCGATTATTCCTCTCTCTGATTCTGTGATTCGCGTTTTATACTGTGATATTCACGATTTTCGCTTTCGTCCGCGATATATTCAGGTTAACTTTTATTTCCTCGTGCATAGAGAAATGTGTTTGTGAAACTGTTTCTGTTATACGACAGAGTGGGTAAAGAATGAGGAAATGCATAATTTCTATTGATTGTTGACCTGAATGTACAACTGCAGTTGAAACAAGTATTGCATAATGTAATTATACAAATGCAATATCTTTTTGAATATATTATGAATTACTTTGGAATATAATATAAAATGAATTTTATATAATATTTTTTAATATTTCCTTAGAATTTAAAATAGAAAATTTGACAAGAAAATTTTTGAATTAATTTTATACGAGTATAAGATAACGTATTATAATTGTTTTTCTCTCAAATTATAAAATTAGAAAATATAAAATTAGAAAGATATTCTTTGATATTGCGATATTAAATAATTAAATTATTATTATTATTTATTAATGTTGAGTAAAAAAAAAACTTTCTATCGATTACTTTTATGAATCTATTAAATAAGTTAACAAAGAACATTAAAAGAGCCGGACACGTTTCTTTATCGTGGGAATGAATATATATCTCACGGTGTATGGAAGAGTTAATTAAATTTCTAGTTAGCAACATGGAATTACTTGTGGCAAAGTTTCGATACGAAAACCAAAACCAACCACGGGTCCTGAACAAATGCAATAACGAAAGTCGTATTTCGCTCGTGGTACTTCGTAATTACTCTTTTTCTATGATAAAATTATATAATTTTCTGGGAACTTCGCACCTCGTTATACTTTCATCGGGTATATCTCATTTTTCCCTTTCATTAATTTTTTAATTCATTCCACGAGAAATAGCTTTTTGTTTTGCGAAAATCGTGGTCCAACTTCCGAGAAATTCTTGTAATTTTCTGTCTGTTATAAAATTTTTACGAAGATTTTAAAATTTAAAGCAAAGTTTAATAGAGCAAAATTTACTAAGAATTCGTTATTTTTTAAATATTTAATAATATATTCGAAATCACAAAGAAATCACGAAGAAACCTAATTAGAAATCCCCTAGAAATTATAGAATTCCCCAGAAATTTTTATTTCCTTAAAATATTATTAAGAATTCAGGATTTTTTAATAAAAATTGCAACACGAATGTTTTAAATAAAATCCTTTTCAAGCATTCTAAAAAAGTTCTGAAAAGCAAAAGAAAGAAGAAAAAAATGAATCCCTATTCAAACCATTCAAATCTTGTTCTTATTCGAGATAATATATCAAAGCGAATTAACGTGTTTCTCAATCTCGTCGAATCTCGAAGAATTGAAAAGAAAAGTGGACGTTTCCTAACGCAGGGTAAAGAACAAAAGCAGTGCCCTTTCGAGCATAATCAATGCGCAGCTTAACCGAGCACAGACCAGAAACAATTCACGTGGGTGGAGTTGGTTCTCCCTCTGAGCTTGTATCTGCCGATTATAAAAACGCGAAACTCGTTGCAATCTGGTATCGGTCATGGCCGATCGCTTTTACCAGCTGGCTACTATTATTCCGAGTCGAAGAGAGAATTTTTATTTTTCTTTTTTTTTGTTAAATTGCAATTTAAAATTCTCTGAAAATATTACGCAAGATAAATTATATATGAATTTCTTTTATATGGATATCTTCTTAAACCTCTTCTGGAACCTCTACCTGTAACAAATTAATACATATTAATGAAAAATTATTAATCTGTAACGAAGAATAAAAAACGCAAATGTAGACTGTAAACCATAATTAATTAAAAATAGAATATTAAAAAAAATCAAGAGAAATAATTTAATAGATTATAATTTTCTTTCCTATTTTCTTTCATAAATTATTCGTTTCCCCATATATTTACAAATCTAAATTTATTTCCAGATGGTTCACTACGTATCAGCATCAGCACTGACGTCGCAGGCTCGACAAACACCACCGAATTCTCGAAACAGTCCCGATCTTTTCGGTCAGCTCCTTCGAAAAGCCGGAGGCATGGGCGACATCAGAGATTGTCCAGTGAGTTAACTTATAAATATACCTACTTTCTTTCTTCCACTTTACACAACTCCGTGAAATATTTAATCTCCGCGAACGATTCACAAGTTTGCATTTCGAAGCAGTTCCGGTGATTCCGGTTTGATTCATTCGACAAGATCGGATACACTCTCCTTTGGCCTTTCTTGGAAATGATATCCCGCGAACTTTCTCTTTGAAGTGGAACGATAATTATCGTTCGAGCACCCACGGGCTATTTGGCCGACCGCATAAGTGCTGTAGTATTCAGTTATAATCTGCAACCGAGAAATTCTTCTCTCTATATTAACTGGAAAGAATAAATAATTATCGCCCTTGATCATATGATATACGTGTTAAGAAATCAATAATTTAATAATTATACATCGATCAATCCTTAATTTTCATATTACATTGTTAGATAATTACATACTTGCTCGTTATCGATTTATACAATTGCTAGTCAATTATATTTGTTTTATTCGATGATTGACCAATAATTAATCAAAAATTCAGCAGAATTGAAGAAAAGAAAAAGTAAAACTTCGAAATAAGAAGACGATTCATTCGGAGATAAATTCGAATAATCTGAAAAATTAAATGGCTTCGTTCAGAAATTTTAGACTCTCCGAAATTATAACTAAATATTAAAACGAACTTTTTTTTTTTGATTCACAGAGCTCTTGCGGCGCGAAAATACAAATATGTCGGACCCTGATGAACCGACCGGAAATCGTATCCGTCGGAGTCGTATGGGATAGCGAACGGCCTTCGTTGGAGCATATCATGGACGTTTTCGCTACCGTGGGAACGTCCCTCAGATTGAGCGATGTTTTCCACAGCGTGGTGGACTCTAGATGGGGTGCCTCGACCGTGCATAATCTCGTTGGAGTCGTTACGTATTACGGGAAACACTACTCCACCTTCTTCTTCCACACTAAACTCAAGGTTTGCATAAAGATTACACCGTTTAACCCTCAATTACCCGGATAAGTAAATCATCCTCGAATTACATAGAAATTAATCTTTCGAGTGTTTATATCGTGTTCCAAGCAGCACTTTGTTCCTTGGATATGCCACGTCAAATATTCGAATTTTATTTACCTTTTTCTCGTCCTGGTTCAGGTATGGATCTACTTTGACGATGCGACCGTGAAGGAGATTGGTCCACGTTGGGAGCAAGTGGTGGAGAAATGCAGGAGGGGCAGATATCAGCCGCTGCTTCTACTGTATGCAACCCCCGGCGGGACTCCAGTGAACACGGAAAACGCCCCGAAAACCGTGACTCCTTTCCCGAACGGAAATGGACTGAAGACACCCCCGAAGAATAATGTTCGACGATCGATCACCCCCAGCCCGGAAAAACCATCGATCAACAGCACAGCCAGACGTGCCATCACGCCCAATCCCGACAGCCCCCCTCACCCTTATACGCAGCGTAGGATTTACAGCGATTATCAGAATCTGACCGATATACAGAATAATATATTTGGGAATCAAGTGAGTTTCGATGATCAACGAGTATATAATAAAATATATAACAGAAAATTTTTAATTCGAGAGAATAATAAAAACAAAAAAAAAAAATTTCTTTAAAATAAATTTTTTGAGTTTAAAGTTATTCTTATAGTTAATAATTCATGATTATATCCTACAATTTTTTTTTTTTTAATAAATATAAGACGAAAGTAAATAAAAGATTTTTGTTACTTTTGTTGTTGAAGGGTGTTGATACCGTGGACGGGGAAGTGGAGTCGAAATATATCAGTCGACGCGCGGTCGAGAACGTGATGCAGCAGCAGAAGAAGCAACAAATGCAGCTGACACGAAGCCTGAGCGCGGGCTCGACACCGCAGGACGCCATCAGTATTCCGGATCACTTGAACGTGCCGCGAAGGCGGGATTCCGGGAACTGGTCGGGCGATCGAAACAGCGCCTCTTCGAGTTCCTCCACGACGATGGACAATCCGTATCTGTACATCGTCAATAAAATGCAGAGGAACTCGGGCGTGCCGAAGAGCCCGACCAGCAAATCTGGAGAACTCTCGAGCAGCAGCAGCGGCCATTACGACGCCGGATACGATTCGTATTCCTTGTCTTCCACGGACAGCCTTCCGCTTCAACAGGGTCTAAAGCATAATCTGCAGGTATGATATTACGGCAAATAATGTATTTCACGGTATTATATAGTATAAGTGTTATATCGAATTTGTGGAATTGTGACAGATAGATAATTGTAATTGTAATTAATTGAACTTAGAGTTCAAATCGATTTACTTAAATGACAGCTTGCCCAGATCCCGGAAGGCTACCAAGCTTCCTCAGGCGACGACTGCGAACGTCTCTGCAAGGAAACCGACGCGCTCTTGGACAAATCCCGAGCGGCCGAGGATGCAGGGGATCTCAGCACCGCTGTTGCTCTGTGCAGCGCAGCCAGCAGCAAAGCTAGAGCTGCCATGGACGCGCCGTACAACAACCCTCACACGATCACCATAGCGAGGATGAAGCACAATACTTGCGTGATGAGGACGAGGAGTTTGCACAGAAGGATGTTGCAGGAGCAAGCAACGGCCAATGGAGAAAAGGAAGGTCTGTTGTTTAAAAAAAGAAAAAAAAAATACATTGAATGGAACGAATAATTAGTAACTAATTTTGTAATTTTGTATATCTTTAATGTATAATTGTGTATACTTGTAGAAGGCGCGCTAGAAGGCAGGCATTCTCGAGAGAACAGTAAATCAGGCCAACACTCTCGACAAAGTTCCAGAGACAAAGGGAATCATTCCAGGCAAAACAGTCGAGAACTTCTGGTGAACGCTCCAGCCGCGGCTAGCGACAAGCCTACCACGAAGAGCATAGAGATTTATGCCACGTTGCCAAAAAAGAAGACTCTGCGCAGCAAGGCGACGGCTGTGAACGTGATCGAGGATGAAGAGTACATGTTGTACGATCGGCCGATGCAGAGGACGGGTCTGTTCAGCCGTACGAAGCGTTGCGACGACGACAAAAAGGACAAGAAACGGGCACGCAGCGAGGAGAGGAACAAGAACGTCTCGAAAGACTTCTCCATCGCGCCCACCCGATCTTCTCCCTCGCCCAAGGGAGCAAAAGTGGACAAGTCGAAGGAGAACGTTGACACTAACGTTGCCAACAACGCGAGAAATTCTCAGTCTGGTAGCACGGGCGGGGAGCAGCAGAAGCAGGGCAAGAAGCAGCACAAGATTCGCAGGAAACTGTTAATGGGTGGGCTGATCAAGAGGAAGAACAGAAGCATGCCGGATCTGCGCGAAGGGCAGGATGGACAAACGAATGCTAGCGCGGAGGGAGCCTCCAACACCTTGCCAAAGCAGTCGGTGGACGATTCCAGTGTGGGTTTGAAGGGGAACGAGGTGTGCCAATCTTTGAGCGGTTACCTGTCAGAGGGGCATCTCGAGTTCACCGGAAATAGCAACGGGAGCCCGAGCAGTACGAGCAATCCGAATCTGGAGAGAAGTCGTCTGATGAGGAAGAGCTTCCACGGAAGTGCTGGCAAAGTGTTACACGTGGCGAAGGTTCCACCGCCTCCTCCGCTCAGGACCACTTCTCAGCTTAGCAAGTCTAAGTGTTCGGGCGAAGTGCACAACGAGCAGCAATCCGAGAAATCGGTCTACCCGGCGTCAGAGGGTCAGTGTAATCCGTCGAATCCGTCCCAAGAGCAGAACGGAGCGTATTGGAATCACGTGA